ATATTCTGAGCTTCATGGTGAGCCGTGGTGTTCGCATTATCATGTTTTTGACATTCTCCTCAGAATGATTCCACATTAGAAAATGCATCAACAACAGCCATGATCAAGAATTCCGGTTAACACTGGCCTGGTGATAGTTAAACCTTTTTGGGCAAAGAAACGCTTGAAGCCACATTAAAGGCCCACAAGAATCAAAGTCTGAAAATACTATAAGAATACTATAAAACACGGCAACATATACTGCTCAACATATGTGCAAAAAGTGGAGATTGCTCAGTATAAATCAATAAACTAGTATAAAGTTAAATGCACACATTTAAAATAATAAGGATATTGTTTGCATTTAGAATGTATGTGCTTTTCTGTGTGGGACACCATGTTCAAGCTGCTGACAAGAGGAAATCGCATCCTAGATGTGATCTGATGATCACTAAATGAGTGGAGTGCTAAGTGTAAAACTTGCCTAGTCTTGCTGTTGCACAGTACCTACACAGGAGGGGCAAACCACGCCCACATTATTATTAAGTTGGGACAATACCTTGACATGCACAACATCCATTAAGCTGCTGTGTTTTACTTACCCATGTGCAGAACTGACAGCAGGGACACTGCAGCCAACAAAAGAGGGGAGTCCGCTTCCATCAGACTGTTAGGAAAAAACACAGCCGTCCTCACAGTTTGCTCCTAAACACAAAGTCAGCTTTACATAACAAATAGGTACTTCCTGGGGCAAATAGGTACTTCCTGGGGCAAAGGGACTTTAGCTCATCCCACAAGTTCTGCAAGTAAGCAGGTCCTGTGACTCTTGTGCAGCTAAAGATCTGCCATGAGTGGGCAGCGCTCTCTGTGAACTCTATCACTAACACTCCACAAGACAAACCTGGCTAAAACTTACCTAATAATAATACCTGCTGTTAATTTATCATCAGCATATCATACAGTCATATATGCACATGTATAAATGCATGCACAGAACTGAACAATTAAAGTGTGATGGTCCTTAATTACAGTGGCTCCAGCTTCATTTATCATGCCACTGCATACCACGCACTGTTATCAGTGTGAGTTTATTCTGCAGGCCTTATACTGTGGGGAGGGGGGGCATGAGCATAGTCCAGGGGTCGGCAACCTGCGGCTCCACGTGGTTCGAAAAACATTATACGTATTTAACTGAAGTGTATTTTATTTGTGTTAGTTCTTTTTTAACTTCTAGTTGTAAATTGGAAGATTATTGTGGTCTTGAAATATCAAAATAAAATTATATGTTATTATTTTTCATCGCTCAAAATAAGCGTCACTCTCGCATAAACCATATCAGCCGAAATGCCCTGCGTTTATGGAGACTGTCAACCCCAGGCAGGCCAAGTATGGAGCTTCGGATCCACATTATGTGAGCAGCTGTTCTCCACCGTGAACTACGGTAAAAACAAACACCGCTCACGCCTCACAGATGGCAGCTTACAGTCCTGCGTAAAGATGAAGCGGCTTCGTACAGCCCCGATTTGCAGACGCTGTGCGCCATGGCAGACCCAACGATGTTTGCATGTACATGCTTTTTTCTTTATTGAGCACTTTTCACACATTGTTGCTGTCGCCACACAGCCAGCGGTAGTTTTCCAGCTCACAGCCCGACACAACAGCAGAGCGAGCACACACTTTAAGCCGGGGAGGCGTGATTGCGGATGCCGCTCAGGTGCCTCCGCCTCCCCTGTAGCGTGCAGACCACGCCCCGCCACACACGTCAACCACTTAAAATAAACATTTATACAGATATTTTGCAAATTTTTATTTTTTATTTTTTTTTAGCAGTTGAGTGAATTTTTCCAATTACTTTTAAAATTCCGCTCAACGCTACAGTTTTTTTTCGGTATATGAATAATTTAAGTTCAGCTTTTTAATTCATTT